ATGACCATGGCGACCACTGATGATAATGATAGTCATTGATAGTAGTATTATGTCAGCCATGTGAGTCACAACGCCAAGATCTCAAGATCGAAGATGGACAGTCTGCTATCAATCAACAGTGTCAGTACAGATATCAAAACAGAACAACCTAAAGTCGATGTAGAATACACCGGTCAGGATAATAAAAGTGAGTCAAATATAACGTGGCTTTGTTTTATTTATTAATTTATGATATGGATACTCACTGTTTCCTGGATGTCAATAATGTCATGATGAAATGTATGACAATATTGACAAGCTAGATGTGAAATGTGAGGGCCCTTTGGAAGCTAGTACGGAGGCATAGATCATAGATAGATTAGTTTACTCTGAGGAAAACGGTACTGCTAGGAGTTATCAGGGGATTGAGTAGATGATCAAATCATATACAGACAGTTGGTTACTTATGACTGGTGCCATCGGAATTAAATTATTAATATTACTCTTCTCTAGCTACTAAAGATGGGGATAAAGTACTTATGGGAGTGTCTCGAGTGCTGTGATGTTAATTCTCAATTCAACATTCTCACACATTTTCTGTTGTTTTTTTCTGGCTGGAGTGCTGTGATGATGATGATGATGATTCTTTCTAATTACAGTTAATACTAATTTTCCGTTTTCATTTTTATTTTTTTTTATTTCACCAACTGAAATGGCCAGTGTCATTTAGACTAAAATGTTCAACATTGTTTCTCTAATTTAGAAAGCTGTACTTTCATTCAGTAATTTTTTTTTTTTAATAGATTTTTTTTTCTTCTGAGCCTAAAGACAAAATGAATAAATTATTTAATCATGCCTGATTAACATGCTTCCTCATGTAGGATCCAGGATTCAACTTTCTTTTTTCGGGGGGGGGGGGGGGGGGGGATAGATATCCCCTGACCACAATTAATTATAATGACTAAAGTGGGAGCCATTTCAGCATATTGGTTAGACTAGTTTGTCCAACAGAGGAGTGGGGGTGGTAGTGGTGGAGGCAAAGATGGAGTAGATTAGATGTGAAATTGCATCTATTACATATATATATATATATATATATATATATATATATATATATATATATATATATATATATATATATATATATATATAATGTACCAAGTAAACAGTTGATTGTATTTGTGAATTGATATTTACTGTTTGTGTTTCAGAAACAGTTACCTACTCTGAGAATGTACCTTTTCTTCCAATACAAGAACATTCACAGATACAGAAGATGATGTATAGTAACATGGCATTTAAGTCTGTAAAACGAGAACTTTCAGATGTGTTGTGTGAGGACAAGAATCAAATATTTAGAAAAATGGGAGGTGTGACAGGTTGTAAAAGTCACCAGGGAATGACAGGACAAAATAGCATTATGTCAGCAGTGACGGAGAGTGGTTATTCAACATTACTAGAGCACAAGAAATGGAGTCAAATTTCAGTGAATAACACTTCTGGCAGTGCAGTTAATACAGAATTATCTTTGACTGATAAGAATTGCCTGTTAAAAACTAGCATGGAAGTAAAAGCAGAAGACAAATCAAACATGTCACATGTTTGTGATTCAGCCATCACTGAAGACAGCAGTTTAAACAGATACAAGAGGAGATATACAGGAGAGAAACCTTTCAAGTGTGATGACTGTGGTTTATTATTTTCTCGAGCTGCCAGTTTGAAAATACACAAGAGAACACATACAGGAGAAAAACCTTTCAAGTGTGATGACTGTGGTTTATTATTTTCTCGAGATGCCAGTTTGAAAATACACAAGAGAACACATACAGGAGAAAAACCTTTCAAGTGTGATGACTGTGGTTTATCATTTTCTCAAGCTGCCAGTTTGAAAATACACAAGAGAACACATACAGGAGAGAAACCTTACAAGTGTGATAACTGTGGTTTATCATTTTCTCAAGCTGCCAATTTGAAAATACACAAGAGAACACACACAGGAGAGAAACCTTACAAGTGTAATGATTGTGGTGCATCATTTTCTTTAGCTGCCCATACGAAGAGACACATGAGAACACATACAGGAGAGAAACCTTACAAGTGTGATGATTGTGGTGCATCATTTTCTTTAGCTGCCCATCTGAAGAGACACATGAGAACACATACAGGAGAGAAACCTTACAAGTGTGATGATTGTGGTGCATCATTTTCTTTAGCTGCACATCTGAAGAGACACAAGAGAACACATACAGGAGAGAAACCTTACAAGTGTGATGATTGTGGTGCATCATTTGCTCAGTTTGAGATTCTGAAGTCACACAAGAGAACACATACAGGAGAAAAACCTTTCAAGTGTGATGACTGTGGTTTATTATTTTCTCGAGCTGCCAGTTTGAAAATACACAAGAGAACACATACAGGAGAAAAACCTTTCAAGTGTGGTGATTGTGGTGCATCATTTTCTGAAGCTGTCAGTTTGAAGAGACACAAGAGAACACATACAGGAGAGAAACCTTACAAGTGTGAAGATTGTAGTTTATCATTTTCTCAAGCTGCATATCTGAAATCACACAAGAGAACACATTCAGAAGAGAAACCTTTCAAATGTGACAATTGTAGTACATCATTTTCTCAAGCTGCTCAAGTCGCACAATAGAATACATACAGAATGTGAGTTTTGCACACACATCTATTTTACAGATCTTGACTTTTTTGTTTAGTGTTATGTAGGTTAAAACAAGTATCGACATCTTGGCACAAGGGTAGTAACCATTAAGTCCTCAGTTCTACTTCCAACTTATGTCTGAGTCCAAAGAATCTCAGCGCAGTGCGCGAACTCCATAGCACCGGTGAGGATCCTAAAATACTTTGGGTATATTTTTAACTCAAAATTTTGCCATGGCAGTGCTGTTATTGATTTCCAACCTCTAATGGATTTTTTATGTGGGAAACAATACACATGGGCATCTGATCTTACTACCCAGAGACTAGGGGAAATTACTCGAAGTCCACATAAAAAAATCCCAGCCTTTACCAGGGCCTCCAGCACTTGAAGCGGACGCCATGCCTCAAGACCACGCAGCTCCCCTTTTTGTGTGTCCATTTCTAAATTTTAGACTTGTTCCAGAAATTTGAGTTTTGCGTGCACATCTATTTTACAGATCAGGTTTATTTGTACGCAGACTGCTGGTCCCTCACCTCTCAAGCAGATGCACTGAGTCTTAGAAGACAATTCCCCTAATTATTTGCCTTTTACAACATGCTTGTTGGGGAGGGGGGCAGTAGATCTAGTATTTTTTCCATGAATGGGGCTCGGGAATCCCCCGCTGGGAAAATGATGACTTAGGATCAGACAAAACAATGTGTAATCAAAAACGTTCTAGTTGAGATGCTGTGCCCATTAGCGTTAGAACCCCACTGTTACATCTAAGGGGAAAGGGGCATACACTTTGAAAGGTGATCAAAAATTGAGAGGGAGAGAAACTGATGAGTTTTCAAGATTCTCCATAACTAACTCGATTACGAGTTCTCAGAGCAAAATTTGATTAGGCTCGTCCATGCTGATTTCGAGAACAACATAGGAAATCCACCCTCATCTAGTTACAATCTGTTGATGTACCTTAGGCACATATATTGCATTCAATCAATGTCATTTGAGGTTAGATACAAAGTGCCAGATCTAGCATATGGCTGCGAACCCTGGACACTTAGTAAACTAGTCAAAAAATTTCTTGAGCCCTTAGAGATATAGTTTTACAGAAGAGTGCTTACATTTTTTTTAGACAGTCAGAATGAATAATCTGTGTGTTTTGAAAGAGTCGTAGACAGACAACATGTCACAAACATCAGAAAAAGATTGTCATAATTTCTGGCAATGTCATAAAAAAGAAAGAAAGTTGAATATGTGACGACCAGAAAGATTTGTGGAGAGAAAGACAAAGGGAGAAAATTGTGGATCCGCATTTTGCCACTTCATGGAACGGTGTCAGCATATGAGCTGATGAATTCTGTTGGAGACGATACATTGTTGAGAGGCATGATCAAATATGTCAGATGATTAGGAAGATGATGGTGAGGATGACCTTGTGGAGGTTGCTGCATCAAAGGACTGGGCACATGTGAAAAAGTTGTGTGCTCTGATATCGACAGGGATAACATTAGACTGTATGGACAAACTGTTATACAGACATTCATCATACGTACGCTAATGTCAACATCTATGCAGGTCACCTACCACCTCCAGGATTCTATCAACTGTAAACTTTGGCGTAAATGTCTGAGTGTTCGTGTTCATTCTTTTCACACATCTGGCTTATTTGTACACAGACTCTTGGCCCCTTGGCTCTCAGTCTTGTTGCATGGCATGGAGGTGTGTCGGCACACAAACTGATATATGCTGCAAGAGATCGCAGATTATGGAGAGGCATGATCGCCCACGCCAGTCGGCAAGGCACCTGATGATGATGATGATATATATATATATGTGCCATATTTCATGTAAAAAAAAAGTCCAATACAGAGATTCTGGAAAGTCTGCGAATAAAAAGATAATTATTTAAAGGAATAAAGAAGAGATAACTTAAATATTTTGGCCAAATTAAAACATACTATGCTTTTAAAAACCATACTGATGAGCAAGGGCAAGAGGTAGATTATGTTACAAGTGGGAGGACAACATCAAAAGATGAGTCTGAGAAAGTGTACAACCAAGACATGAGACAGAGCCAGTTGGAGATTTCTTGCAGCCAAATGGCATTGTGGAGATGGCAACTAATTGATTGATCGATTGAACACAGCTATTTTAATGATAAAAGTGGCTAAATGGTAGCAACTTTTGAAAGTGCGAACTTCCGCTTTGAAATCAAATATGGTTGTCGGTCCAGTAATTCATCTGCCTTCAACTCTCCCACAAATGATCCTGTCCAAATGCTACACATGTTTGTAAAACTTGATGCGGTATTCAGAAACCTTCATTGTTAAAAGGGCACATAAATAACTGACTGAATGATCTATGTGGTTGTCAGCATTTTCCAGGCTGATCAGTCAGGTTCACATTTCCCTGAAAGAGACGATGATCGTCATGACAACCACTGAAGATAGTACCCATGTGAGTCACACCCTGCCAAGATCGAAGATGGACAGTCTGCTATCAAGCAGAAGTACAGATATCAAAACAGAACAACCTGAAGTCGATGTAGAATACACAGGTCAGGATAATAAAAGTGAGTCAAATATAACAGGATAGAGACCTGAGTACTTTAATTTCATATGAATGAACACGTCTCGTGGGCTTTGAGATTTCATAGTCGATTCCTGGACAGTACCATGTTATAGGGGGGTTTAGGGTTAGGGCTAGTGTTAAATGAATAGCGACTACAACTAAGCCTAACCCTAACACCCCTATACCATGGGACATTCTCAGGATTTCCTTACTAAATCTTGAAGCCGGCGAGATTGGTCGTATATAATTAAAATACTGAGACCTGTTCAAACTGTTTTATCTGTGATATTGATAACTGTTTCCTTGATGTTCATGATGATGTATGACCAGCTAGCTGTCATTGGGGTCCTTTGGGAGTGAGTGAGCAGTGCAGAGACACAAATAGATCATTACGGCCTGAGGGGAATGGAGCTAGGGGTGAGACCTATGATTAACACTTGGGGAAAGGACAAGAGAAATATACAATCAGTTACTTGTGCCATCAAAATTGGATCTCTTTGCTTGCTGCTGAAGATGGGGAAAGAGAGCTTATGGAAGTGTTCCAAGTGCTGTGATGTCAGATCTTAATTCAACATTCATTTGTGATACTGTTTATACCTTGTTTTTCCTGTTTAATTCATTTCTGCTTGTGTAATTTTTGGTGCCCAAATACATTTTCTGTTTCTGTTCTTTTTCTGCTTCTACCTCTTCTTCTTCTTCTTGATGTCCTCTTTTACTGCTTCAGGTGTCGAGGGAGATATAAGGTCCTGTTCCATGCTCTTCAGGCTGCTTGACCACACCATGGTGCTGTAGAGTTTCTCTGATATATCTTTCCATCTTGTTCTTGGTCTGCCTCTTGCTTTACGTCCCTCTCCTATTTTGGTATATGCCTTGTATGTTATAGCATCAGAAGGCATTCTCTCCAAGTGGGCAAACCATTTGATTTGCTGTCTTTGTATGCAATTTAGAACTGGTTCTGTGCTGACTTTATCTCGTATGACCTCATTCCTGATTTAATCTCTTTTGGTCACTCCTACAGCCTTTCTCAGACACCTCATTTCCATGGTTACTAATTTTCTTTTAAGTTAACATTCACTGTAGTTATTTCACTGTTATCACCCTTTATACTTGCTGCCTGGATAGAAATTTAGTTCTCCTTAAGCAGTTAGATGAGGGCTGTGAAAATGTAGTGGCTAGATAATTATTTCCCAATGTGGGCATTTTGTCATAGGGTTTGACAGCTTTGTAGGTCACTGGGAAGGGGGGGGGGATACACAGGTTTGGATTTTACACAGATTCCTTTGTTTATAGTTGCCTAAACATATTGTATATAGCCACATATGAACATGATTAGTAATATTAATCACTTTTCTACTATTCTAAAGACAGACTTGAAAAGGAAAAAAAAATGTCTCCCAAAGTCGACGCAGCCTTAAATGGGTACCAGGTAAAGTCCTGCTGGATGATCTATACAATTTAGGTCTAGCCCCTAAATGCTCCATACATTTGAAGGCATTCCTTTATTCTACTGTTCTTAAAACAGAATAGTGGTATCCAGATCGCTTTAAATATCCCCAGAGATAGATTACACAATGTGACTGTACACCAGACAATAATGTCACATTGCAAAGTACGGGACTTTCACAGGGGTCTGTAGTGTAGTGGTTATCACATCAGCCTAAGAGGCTGAAGGTCCTTGGTTTAGTCCCGATATGAAACCTTAAAAATATATGTATCTCTGTGTGTGTGTGTTATTGTGAATGTTGAGTTTCATGGTTCCTGTGGTGCTTTCCACAATAGATGGTCCAAGTATTGAAGTAAATAAGTAGTAACAGGGTGACCACAGGTAATTATAATGCCTAAAGTAGGAGCCATAACAGAGTATTGGTTAGACTAGTTTATCCAACTGGGGGGGGGGGGATGGGAGAATGGCGTTGTCTGCCTTAAATGGGTACCAAATAAAATCCTGCTGATAGGTCTAGCCCTATATGAATCAATCCTTCTAAATACATGGTGTGCAGCTCTAAACAAGGGTGTGACTACACGTGAAACAAACAGAACAGCAAGACTGATTGAGAAAAGGATGGACAGAAAGGCGACTTCAGGAAATCCCCTCTCTGGCACAACATTCATTCCCTGTCCTCACTGTCCAAGAACTTTTCGGGCCTGCATGTGCCTCATCAGTCATCTTCGTACTCATACTTGATAAAAAAAAGTGGTGATCATCATCTTGATGGACAACACTCACACACACACACACACATCAGCCTAAGATGCTGAAGGTCCTTGATTCAACCCCCAGTGAAACATAAAAGAAAAAATATATTTCTTATTGTTAATTTTCAGTTTTAATGTTCTTGGGGCACTTTACGCAGTGGATGGTCCAAGTATTAAAATAAATAAATGGTAACAGTGGCCACAATTAATTATAATGACTAAGGTGGGAGCCATAATAGCATATTGGTTAGACCAGTTTATCTAACTTTAGGGGGGAGGGGGGTAGCATCTATGACTGAATGGTCCAAGGGTGGCTTGGGGTCCTAATGGAGCAGTGATGTACAATACAAGACTCTTAATGTCTGTTAGCCTCTCTTGCTTAAGCCTACCTCACTTTTATGTGGTGGACCCAGCAATTCAGTTGAAGTTTGCAGTCTCAACTTCCAGTGGGAAACTGGATGGGACAACTGACAAGGTGAAGGGATGAGCCTACTCTCCTTCTCAAGAGATTCTGAAGTCTGAAATACTTGGTCTAAAAGGCAGATCAAAAACCACAGAACCCACCATCCCCTATATATATATATATATATATATATATATATATATATATATATATATATATATATATATATATATATATATATATATATATATATATATATATATATATATATTGCTCTGACAGTCTAATTTAACGTTGGTGTTCGCCCTGTAGAGTTCCTCCAGGCAGGGGCAGTGCGGGGCTGTGAGCCTCGACAGAGACCTTCTAGACTGTCATGTAGAGTCAGGAGACGGCAGAGGATAGTTACTGACCTAACCAGTTAGACTGAAAAGATCCCATGGCTATGTATATAATGTAACAAGTAAAGACTTCATTGTAGTGGTTAACCCATGTTTACTGTTTGTGTTTCAGAAACATTTACCGGCTGCCAGAATGTCCCTTCCCTCCCAGTACAAGGACATTCACAAGTGGAGAAGATGGTGCATGGCAACATGGCATTTAAGTTTCTGAAACAAGAACTTTCAGATGTGAAATGTGAAGACAAAAACCAGATGTTGAGTACAATGGGAGATAAGACTGGTTGTGGAAGAGATCATGGGATGACGGGACTAAATAACATTGCATCAGGGGTGACCGAGAATGGTATTTTAACATTGCTGGAGCACAAGAATTGGGGTCAAATTTCAGGGGAAAAATCTTCTGGGAGTGCAATTAGCATGGAATTATCTTTGACTAATGTAAATCGTCTGTTGAAAACTAGCTTAGAAGTAACAGCAGACGACAAACCAAACATGTCACATGTTTGTGATTCAGCTGTCATGGAAGACAGCAGTTTAAACAAGAGAACACACACAGGAGAGAAACCTTTCAAGTGTAATGATTGTGGTGCATCATTTTCTCATGCTTCCAATTTGAATTCACACAAGAGAACACACACAGGAGATAAACCTTTCAGTTGTGAAGATTGTGGTGCATCATTTTCTCAAGGTTACAATCTGAAGAGACACAAGAGATCACATACGGGAGAGAAACCTTTTAAGTGTGATGATTGTGATGCATCATTTTCTCAAGGTGCCAGTTTGAAGTCACACAAGAGATCACATGCGGGAGAGAAACCTTTCAAGTGTGATGATTGTGGTGCATCATTTTCTCAAGCTGCCCATCTAAAGAGACACAAGAGATTACACACAGGAGAGAAACCTTTTAAGTGTGAAGATTGTGGTGCATCATTTTCTCAAGGTGCCTGTCTGGAGGGACACATGAGATAACATACTGGAGAGAAACCTTACAAGTGTGATGATTGTGGTGTATCATTTTCTCAAGGTGCCTGTCTAAAGGGACACATGAGATCACATACTGGAGAGAAACCTTACAAGTGTGAAGATTGTGGTGCATCATTTTCTCAAGGTGCCTGTCTAAAGGGACACATGAGATCACATACTGGAGAACCTTACAAGTGTGATGATTGTGGTGCATCATTTTCTCAAGGTGCCTGTCTAAAGGGACACATGAGATCACATACAGGAGAGAAACCTTTTAAGTGTTGATTATTGTAATGTATCATTTTCTCGGGGTGAAGTCACACAAGCGAACACATACAGGAGAGAAACCTTTTAAGTGTGATGATTTTGGTGCATCATTTTCTTTAGCTTCTAGCCTGAAGGACACAAGATTACATACTGTAGAGAAACTTTACATGTGTGATGATTGAGGTGCATCATTTTCTTAAGCTGCCCATCTAAAGAGACACAAGAGATTACACACAGGAGAGAAATCTTTCAAGTGTGAAGATTGTGATGAATCATTTTCTCAAGGTGCCTGTCTGGAGGGACACATGAGATCACATACTAGAGAGAAACCTTACAAGTGTGATGATTGTGGTGCATCAATTTCTCCCAGGTCAGTCTGAAGTCACACAAGAGAACACATACAGGAGAGAAACCTTTTAAGTGTAATGATTGTGATGCATCATTTTCTCAAGGGGACAATCTGAAGAGACACATGAGATCATATACTGTGGAGAAACCTTACAGGTGTAATGATTGTGAAGCATCATTTTCTTTAGCTTCCAGCCTGAAGGACACGAAATCACATACTGTAGAGAAACCTTACATATGTGATCATTGTGGTGTCAATCATTTTCTCAAGCTGCCCATTCAAAGTCACTGCAATATGTTGTGTTCACTACTGGATGATCTTACTCACATTCTAAGATGACAAGAACGTTAAGAGTCGACACCTTCTTCATGATACAAGACTGTTTATTGACATCTAAACACTTATGTAGATTGTCCTGTCCATGT